ATATCATGGAGGTATGAGATTGTCGAACTCTAGTTTCTTCTATATTTTGAAGTGAGCACGGGATATCAACCAATGGATAATTCGGTTCGCAGGCTTCAACGAATATCCCAATGGGAGAAACCAGATCCGGACATGTGAAACCTAAAGTACATTCTATCCTGTGCTGTGACAGGTTCTCTTCCAGCCATATCTGAGGGTAACGTCACTAGGCAGGCGTGCCGCAGGTCCCTCAGTAGTGGAGACTGTGAGGCCAACTGTTGGGACATCAGAGTCAGGCAGTGTGATGGACCCCCTGAACCGTACTACGTCTATCTCTTACCCCCCACACCCGGCTGTGATGAAGCATACTGTGCAGGTGGGAACAATACATATTGCAAAAAGCCATGAATTTTATAAGAGAAAACATTTATTTTTGTCTACAGAGGTTCGAATTTATTAAACTTCTCCAGTTAAGATTTATCCTACCGGTAGGTTATATGTACAGTAACGTTAGTATTCATTAGTCATAATGCAATAGTAATAAGATTAGTATATATATTGCAAACAGATTTTTCAAAACTCTGGACAGGATTGATGATGCAATGATTACAATGCACCAAACCCACTTCATTTCCCCCAAAGGGACCAACGTGCTGTGCCCAACAGGACAGAGCTCAGAAAACTACGGCTTCACACCTGGCTGTTCGGGTAAGTCTTTTACATGGTTTTTGCTCGAGCTAGAACTACATGAGGCTGAACAGGCATGTTTCAATAGGAGTGTAACATTGGTCTTCTTCATTACATTTACGGCAAATTGAATCAGGTATAAATTCAAGATATCGCAGACATCAAACGTCATAATTTGACGGTGTGGCATATTATAAATCTGCCTCCCAACAGCAACATGCATGGCATTGTGAGTGTCTGGACTTACGTCTTAACCTGAATGAAGTGTAAAATCCAGCGATCCCAACCCAATCTGATGTTGACATGCCGATCCCTCAAGCTATGTCATTTCAGCTTGTGCAAAAAGAGATATTGAGTTCTTTTGATGGCAAAATTTGTGCATACCACAAAAGCATAAAGATGCAATGATACCAATATCTTGGATACGTTACAAACTTTTCACCACAGCCAGTTTCCCAAAAATAACGACCAACCCAAAGCTGACAAACGGCACGGAGCCTTACCAAGTCGTGCTGTTCTGTGACTTCGACCGTCCACAGTGGGACAACCTGACGATCGAAGTCTTCTGGGTGGCCGACAACACTCCCATCTTCGAAGACGTATTAATAAATGGAGAGAGCAGATCAATCTTGACACAAGATGATCTAAAAACTGGAATGGGAAAGACGGTAAGAAATATCTACTCTCACCATTCCATAGCAGCATGTTCAGTAACGTTGTACATGTACGTCAATGAAAGTCAGACAGCCTGGTATAGGTTGTAGAATTTTAACCCAATGTATTTGTTTTAGAACGAGGGATATATTTTTGTATCGGTTTGCTTGCAATCGCAATTGAGTATTTTAAGTTAATTTAAAGTAATAAGGCAATAAAAGAAAAAATAATTAGCCCCTCTAGATCCGCTAACATCTGCATAAAAATTATTTACGTATAGGTTTACTGTTATAAATATTTACGTTTTATTTTACAACTGATAAGTATTTTCCGCTGATGTTTTCCAGATAGTCTGCAAAGTCCGCGGCAGGTACAAAGGCGGAGGGGCGCCTGGCACCATGGAAATCAGCAATGAGTTCTTTGCTGGAGTAAAGGTAGAAACCACAAATTTATTAACAGATAGATACCACTAGATAATAAACAAGCCTTTTTTCGGTCATTTCTGCTCTTAATAGTTTTTTGTTTACAGCTGCTAGGGTGCAATGACGTGTGGTGGTGGAGCCAGTAGAATTCAGAGCTAAGAAGAACGAAACTCCTGACGCCACGTTTGATTTTAAAAAATATTTTCCGTCACAGATTCTTACGCAGGATATTTTGATCGAAGAGGGAGGTGAGGCGAAGAACATACAGCTTCAGCCCACACTGCCGCTTGTCTGCACAAAGTTTGCAACCGACTTTGGTGTAGCGTGCCAGCTATCAGTACAAATTGTTTACAAGACCGACGACTCTGCGGACAACATCTGTGAGGAAAGTTTACAGTATGAGGCTGTTCAGGAAACGTGCAGCCTTGACTTTAACGAGGCCACTTGGACCGGGATCATTGAGTTCCCAGTGAGGGCTGTGAGTGACAGCATAGCGGACGGGTCAAGGCGCATGAAGATTGGATTCAACCCGTTTTCTGCTGACCCTGCGCCTCTGTGGGACAAGTACCAAATTGGGGACATCTTTGTAAGTTGAATTGACGACAGAATAATGTTTCTATCGCACATAGAATGGTTTGTTTACATTGAAAACGCCTGCATGCGCAGTTGCACTCGAGGCTTTATCTTTAACATCTTTTAGAGTCGACAGACTCGTATTATGAAAAATGCTTACGACCTACTCTACTTTGTAAAGGCTATAACAAATATTTAGGCTATTGATATTTCAGTTCTTGCAACCATCTCATTGTAGATGCTTAATTGTATCTTTTTTTCCCTTTTCTTTTCAGGTCACCACTCGCGACAACGATCCTGACGGGGATGTCGTGTGCAAATCCACAGGAGACCCGCACTACACCACTTTTGACGGAAAGTGAGCGAAAATGTTAACACGTCATTTCGTATATTTAATGTGTTTTTTACTTTCAATGACAGTTGCTTTCTTGTAGAATTCTTAGGTGTATTTTTCTTCATGCAGAAGGGCCGCCCCACACGTTGGTTCATGTAAAGAATGAAGCATACTTCTATTATTTAGCTTTTAAGCATCTGCAATAGAGCATGTAAGTACGCAGATGTGTTAATCAAGCACACCATATATGTCCACTGGTATAACATTGCTATATGTTTGGATTATTTTTGTAATGTGTCGACCGTTTTTTGTGACTATTATGTTCCACTGTTAGGTACTATCATGTATATCAACCCGGCACATTCACTCTGATGCAGCATCGGTTCCTCCCCATTGAGGTAGGTGAATTTCATGCACTACATGATATTTATCAATATTGCATTGTTTGTTTTTCTAATTCCAAAGAAAATGCAACTATAAGCTATAACTAAGTTAAACGTTAATGCATTCGGATAGTTGGTTGGTTGGTTGGTGGCCTGCTTGCTTTCTGCTTCTTGGTCGGTTACTTTCTTGGTTGCTCTGTCGGTTGGTTGGTCGGTTGGAAATGACGCTGTTGTTCGTACTGCTCCAAGGTTCAGACCAGGACAAGAATGTGCAATGCCGCCGGGAATGTAGCCTGTAACTGCGGCGTTGCTATCCGGGCGGGAAACGAGGTGTTCATCATCACAAAGTGTAAAGACGGCGTGAACAAGTTCAGCTACTCCACGGGAAAATGGGTTCAGTTTGAATCGTCTCTTGCCACTAAGGTGGAACATCATGGTCCCGTGGGGATAGACACGCGTTTCTACTACAAAGATGGCGGACATCGGTTTTTGGTAAGTTTGACCATCCTTTGCAACTACCAAACATTCCAACGGAAAAGCGCAAATGGCAGATTTCTTGTAACATGTATTGCAATTTCTGCCAGTCGAAAGGTATTTAAGTTGGTATAAAAGTTTTTTTTATTCCAACATCACCAGACGTGGTGACGACACACTCAAGTTTTTTTCAACTTACATTAATGCTGCCATGGGCCACCAACACGGGACAAATACATGACAGGACAATACATGACAGGACAACTCTGAGCTAAGTGAGGAAAGTCATGTAAAGTGCTTTTCCCAAGGGCACAAGATCGGTGGCATGTCAGGACTCGAACCCGGGACTCTTAAAACCCGGGACTCTTAGTTCCGAGTCGCGCACTCTGCCGCTATGCCAAACGACCCCACTTAAAGGAGTACTAACCTCCAGAAGGAAGTGCTATTTTCCGATACATCATGCTGCAATGAATACATAACTAGCCGACTTTTTACATAATTTCGCTTGTACGAGTCGCGCGGGGCATGTTTGTAAAGTGATATTAATATCATTGACCCCCATGCTGAACCACAATTGATACATCCGGGAACTCTGGCTTACGCAATACTCATACACTTCAGGTCAACATACACATTTTTTGGCGAAAATGGTAGGAGACAAGCACACTAACAAGCTGATTATTGAGAAATTACTTGTTTTACTTTGCTTGACCTGTGGCTTGGATACTATAATATCGGGATGTCGAATACAGTGGGAGCCGGCCAGTTTCATCCTGCGTGTTTTGATTTTCTCAACTTATTTGCATGTAAGTATTACTTGAACAGATAATTAGATTACGCCACTTATGGAAAGGATAACTAGATTACGCCGTTTTTTTCATCGTCAATATTTGCGGCATAAATGAGGGGCGATAAGGACACCAAGAAGGACAATGGTTGGTAAGATACCAAAGAACACAAAACGGTACGAATTTTTTTTTATCGCCCCCGAAATGAGGTCTGTAACGTAACTTTTTGTTTAAAACATAGACACCAATAGGGTAGCGTGGTGTATTCTGGGATAGTTTTGAGGGTATTTGGAGAGTTTGTCCTGGATTCGATGCGTTTTAAGACTTGCGCGCAAAATGGGCATTTAATGGTATACTGTAAAATAATATGCATTTTTCACTTCCAAAAATAAATGCCTGTCGAAATATAGCACCCCCTTCTGGAGGTAAGTACTCCTTTATATGCATTTCGCCCCCGAAATGAGGTCTGTAACGTAACTTTTTGTTTAAAACATAGACACCAATAGGGTAGCGTGGTGTATTCTGGGATAGTTTTGAGGGTATTTGGAGAGTTTGTCCTGGATTCGATGCGTTTTAAGACTTGCGCGCAAAATGGGCATTTAATGGTATACTGTAAAATAATATGCATTTTTCACTTCCAAAAATAAATGCCTGTCGAAATATAGCACCCCCTTCTGGAGGTAAGTACTCCTTTAATAGTTGTATAAAATTGCCTCGATGTTGTGCCTTCGGGCTTGACTTGACCCCTGTGGTATCCATCCTCACTGCCGCGTATCTTCCCCAGGTCTACCTTCCAACAGGATCATGGATGGATATTACTGCGATAGGATCGTCCAACCAGTATCTGAACATCTACTTTTACCCTTCCGCTGACGATTACAACAAAACTCTGGGGCTGTGTGGGACGTTTGATGGCGACAGCACAAATGACGGTCTCCATGCTGATCTTGGGACAGAGCTTACCATTGGTGACAACCAGGTGATCACCGGCAGTGCATTCGTCACAAGCTGGAAGTGAGTTTCATTTTTCGCTGATGTTTCGCAAATCATAAGCATTCGCAGGATAATGACATGAACAAGAATGCTAAAGCTACAATTGATTACTCCAAAATAGCGGTTCCTAGTGAATTCTTTCATCAGTGACAACTTTGGAAGGATAAGGATACTAACCTCCAAATTTTCGATGGCTATCAGTCCATCTTGTTCACGGAGTGGCCTAATCTCGCGAGAGCGCGAGACTAGGCCCGAGACTTGCATCGGTCGGTCGGGTCCCACCCCCCGCTGCCTCCCTCCGGAGTAAGGGTAAGTAAGTCTTGGGGAGCTCCCAACCTTCTGTCCGGTTTAGCTTGGCACCTTCCAACTGTATGTGCACCGCTTCCTTAATCTTCCTATGTGGGTTACGAGACTCTTGGTCTATGATTTCAATAATGTCAGAGATGGGCCTGGTAGTGATGTTGTGACCAGCCTGGAGTTGGTGTTGACTTAACGCTGATTTGCAGTCTTTCTGATGTAATGACTTTTGGTGTTCAGAAGTCCTTTCCCCCAGTGACCGCTCAGTTTCACCAACGTAAACCTCCCCGCACTCTTCACACTTGATCTTGTAGATCACACCGCACTTCTCACCAGGTGCTAGAGGGTCCTTGGGTCTGACAAGGGCATTACGTAAGGTGAAGCCCGGTTTGGAGTACAGGCTCACATTATGTTTGGCATATACCCGTTTCAACCTCTCTGTAACTCCATGTATGTAGGGTAGAACCACGTAACTCGCTGGGAGTTGTTCTTGTTTTCCAGTCTTACTCTGTTCCTTGCTACTCTTGTCCTTTCTGGAGTTGTTTTCCCCCTCCCTCAGGGCCCATTCTGGGTATCCACAGTGTCTGAGGGCTACTCTGACTTTTTCCTTTTCGGCCTCTCTCAAAGCGGGATCTTCAATAAGGGTGTTGGCTCTTTGCATGAGAGTCCAAAATAGCGGCAAATATTCCCGGGAAATCATCGCTGCCCAAGATGTGGAAACGAGAATGGTGACAAATATAGAAATGTCTCCAATTTAATTCTGGACTTCCACTTTAATTCCCATATCTCAGCAACTACATCTAGATGGGCTAATATCGTAAACTATAGGTAGGTTAGGTAAAAATTATGTAAGACGTATGTTGTAGCCATTGAGGGCCCCTTGGGAATTAACCCAATTCTGCAGAATTCTGGAACTGTAGCCAGAGTTTTGCGGAATTCTGGAAACTGGAGCCAGAATTCTGTGCAAAATTTTACAGGTTTATCCCCAAGGGGTCCCTGATGGCTGTTAAATTGTACGTCTACATGTTTCTTATTTAATTTTTAATTATAGAATAATTGATTTTCTGACTCTGTTTGTAGACTTCCAGATGACGACAATCTCTTCGTGGGCAGCTTGAAGCCATCTTTTCTTCCTCTAGATGAGCGGAGATACTGTGAATGTAACATCGAAGGCTCTTACCAGGAAGTGAGGTGCGACTCGTCATACGCCTACAACTGCCAGTGGAAGTCGGCCAGCGCAGGCGCTTCGCCTGTCGCAGAACAACAGAACGCGCGCAAGAGGAAAAGCACAAGCTACCATGATGAAGTCTACGACGACGACATGTTCGGTTTCGACTACAGTGAGCCGGCCATTCCTGTGGTGAGCCATTATAAGAACATTTTTGCTAGTCACTTTGCGGCGCTCATATTGATGACTTCACCACTATGTGGTAAAGTCATATTGTTTTTGCTCACGTTTCTTCTCCTTCTCCTCCTGCCATTTCTTTAAATTGATTTAATTCCTTCATTTTTGGGCCAAATAACATGAAATTTGGCATGAAGGTAGATTGGGCAAATACTCCCAGGAGTTTTTTTTTCAATTTTGTGGTATGATAAAGGCTTTTAGAATGGTTTTATTTGAGCTTTTTGGCTGTGTTATAGAAAATGTACTATAGCAGTGTGTTACCATATTTGGGCATGACTCATCAGAATGGCATGTAGAGCAGGCAACCAATAGGCATGCAGCTTTCCTCTATTCTCCTTGCTGATTGGCTGTTCGGATTTGATTGGGTTAATTCAATTAACACCTGTACAAAGCCATGCCATATTGACAGTATGAACTTTATTCAAGTGTTTTGGTAGGTATGTCCAGCTTTCCTCGTCTAGCATTGGAATGCGGGGCATAAACGTTTCTTTCTATCTTGAAAATCAACAGTTTGCATTATGCAAAAAACTATTTAAAAAAATGGCAACCAATAATGTAGGGGATAGCTATCCAACTGTTGTAACTTCATACTATAGTTATATCAATGCAAAGAATTGTTTTCCCTTGTATTTCTCCCTGCCATGTCGTGAAAATGTGGTGAAGTCATGCTGAATTTGCTCCAAAGCAAATGTCTGCCTTTCTTGCATCGTAATGACAATTTTAGAGACCAGTTTAGTAACTTGTACCTGAATGAAAAATGGCAATGCTTTATCACAATATGTAAGTATGATATCTCATGCTTTGCTCCATTCAGGCTCCCCCAGCTTGGCCTGCACCAAATGGGATGACAGAGGCGGAGGCCAGAACGTTCTGTGAGGACGCCATGACGGGGTCCCCGGCAGGACAGCTGTGTACATCAGTTCTTGGAGACAAAGTTGACTTGTCTTCAGCCACAGAGTCGTGCGTGGCTGATATCCAGGTGCTAAAACTCAAATGTTCTTTAAAGTTTGCAAAAACATTTATGAAAATGAAGCTGTGAACATGTCTACCAAAGCCTGATCAAATCATAATACGATTGACTATGTGTTAAATACCTCCATTGGTATTACAATTGACAAAACAATGTCCTTGTACCTTGCAATATCATGTAGGACACTGGAATATGTTTTGCTTCATCGTGGAAGATGTTGTGCACATTAAACTATTCGATGTTATTTTTTTGCCATTTTCAGGCAACAGGCGATACCACGTGGGCAGAAACTGCTGTAACAACCATGGAAAGCAGTTGTGGGAGTCTGCTGTACAGGAACACTTCCTTCTGGACAAGTAACTCCACCCAGACGAATAACGGTACCCTGACACCCCCTTCGTTCTTTTACGAAACCGTCTCATGTCCGGATAACTGTAGTCAAAATGGAATCTGTGAGAAAGGAGAGTGCATCTGTCAGGTGGGATTCGAAGGTCCGTCTTGCTCCTTAGAAGCAGACAAACCACCAGAAGCATTCTTCATCCCGAAAGAAGGTCTGTGTGACATCAACATCCGGCCGTGCGAACGGACTCCTGTCATCGGCAAGAACTTCCTGGAGTCGACAAATCTGACATGTTCTTTACAGGCCGCAACGGTACGTATGGCATTGTCTTCCGTGTGTGTTATCTTGAAAGTTCATCTGTGTTGGTAGAAGTCATTATGCAGCAAGATTACACACGTGACTCCGTAAGCAGTGGATCATAGGTTGCAGAAAGTCTGTGGCGCCCCCCGTCTCTGTTGAGGGATGGTTGTGATGCCCTGATGTAGATGGCCTCTTTAATCCCTCGTGCAAAGAAATCCGGTTCTGAGTCCAGGATTCTTACTTTGTCCAGTGAGACTGAATGACCAGGCGATTCTATATGTATATGTTGTGAGACTCCCGAAGTAGTCGACAGAGACGGGGGGCGCCACAGACTTTCTGCAACCTATGATCCACTGCTCACGGAGTCACGTGTGTTATCTGCGTGACGTCACGGAAGCGGTGGATTGTTCATTCCTTGACAAAGACTGGAGTTGTACAATCGAAAATTTGGGTGAGTCTAATTTCTTGTGTTGGAAATTACAGATTAATCTTTCTGCATAATTCCGGGTGTGTTACGTTGTTTCTGGTATAGAGGTTGGCAATGTTGAGCCGTGAAGAAGTGCGACTGACATCCGAGATCCTGAGATCCGTATAACACCCAAATGCATTTTTTCTGGGATTTTCTTTATAATTGACTCAATTTTCACAAGGTTTTTCTTTATGCATATGCTATATATGCTAACGCTATTGACAATTGATTCTAGATTGACAACAATGGCGTTCATCCTCTCAACGACAAAACTACCGTTGCGGCCACTTTTGAGAGCTTCGCCCGTGTGGTGTGTCCTCTGCCGCGGTCCCGTGTCAGGAGGAGTACGGCAGCCGGACACAGGACAACAGCCGAGGCGACGCTCGTCTCCATCAGTAACGACGGTGTGCGCTTCAGCCCGCCGGTCCTGCTCATCACGTATGACGCCGTCTGTCAGGACTGTAACGTCACCGGATTCTGTGTTCTCAGGGTAAGAGAGGACTCGCCTTTCGATAGCCTGGAATTCATCCCTACGAACTATCGGCGCTTCATGCAGTCAGTTGAAGTGCGTAGAGATGGATTCCAGGCTATCTTTATGTAGGCAAAAAAGCATCACAGATCAGAGATGCTTTTCGTAGGCTCAGCTGTGTCTACACAAGTTCTAACCAACTACATGTATGTTGCTTTGACTGTCCATACTTTAAAGCACCTATGAAAAATTAAATCATTCAGTTCATTTCTATTAACGTTATATTTTTTTAAATATGCAGAACAACTCCTGTGAGATAGACGGGACTTGCTATTCCAGTGGAGACACACAGATCGGCAACTGGTGCAAACAGTGTGTTCCGTCAGTCAACGTGTCAGCATGGAGTGACAACCTAGGTGAGTAATTCAATCTATGGTCTTTACGTCATCACCTTTTAAGAATCGGCCGCTACAAACATAAAAGATAAGACATGTTTATCAAGCAATATCAATCGATAGTTTATTACCATACACTGGTGTAGCATCTGGAAAGCAGGGGTGGCCTGCATCGTCGGATGATGATGTCAGAATGTTGAAGAATTCTTTGACTAACAGCCATTTAAACAAGGACATGGGAGGTTCTTAGGTAACTGTAGGAGTTTTTTAAATATATTCTTTCAAAGCCGGTGTGTTTCTTTCCACAGACAATTCACCTCCCGTCTTTGAACATACCGGCGACATCATTGCCTTCATCAACCATCAGCTGAACTTCACAGTCAAGGCAGCGGACCCGGAAAACCACCCCTACCTGAGCTACTCGCTGGTGGGAGCCTCACCCGACCCTGAACTGTCCCTGTCCAGCGATGGTCAGCTGAGCTGGACCCCCAAACTAAACACAACCATCATTGTTAACGTCGCGGCTGCTGACGAGTGTGGTGCGAGTTCTACAGAATCTTTCACGGTCATCGCCCGTGACTGTCCGTGTCAGAATGGCGGCATGTGTCCTTCCTTCGCGCTGGACAGTCCTGATAACATCAACTGCAGCTGTAACGGTACCGGCTTCACGGGTCAGATGTGTGACGTGGATGTGGACGAGTGTGCGGACAGCCCGTGTGTCCATGGAGTCTGTAACAACACCGTCGGTGGGTTCCAGTGCGACTGTGAGCAGTACTACACAGGTAGGGCAAACACTCATCAAAGAGCCTCAAAGTATTTCACAGTAGTGATTCTAAAGTGCAATTCATGCATAACTGCGTATTTACTCATACGACTTTACAAGCGACATTGCCCCTTCCTTTAGGTCCTCTGTGTACCCAGGAGACGCCATGCTTCTCCAACCCTTGCCCTGACAACGGGACATGCGCAGACATCCCCGGCGCCATCCAGTGTACCATCTGTCCTGAGGGGTCGGCTTGTGTGGTCATTGAAAGTAAGTATCAACGTCAAGTGGTGCATTTTGTAGGTCTCACGATATTGTACTTTGATTTGTGCTCAAATTTTCAAATTGTTCTGAGATCTTAACGATGTCCGTTTCTGTACTTAAAAAACAACATTCACACATATAGTAATGATGTATCAACTTTTGAGGTTTAAGCCAATACCTTCTGGTAGCAAGCTTACATTTGGACAATTTCATTTACAATCCTGGCACATTTTCAAAACTCCGTCTTCCCTCCCCAGTCCTCCTGGACCCTTGCTCGCCCAACCCCTGCTATGCTGACGTCACCTGTGACGTAGTTGATGACGTGTACAGCTGCGGACCCTGTCCTGCCGGGATGACTGGTGATGGAGTCAGCTGTGTCCAAGTAATTGGTGAGTAGTGATGTGCTCTAGATTTTATCTTGAAAGTTCATCTGTGTTGGTAAAAGTCATTATGCATGCGCAAGATGTAATTTTCAACACAAGAAATTGGACTCACCCAAATTTTCGACTGTACTACTCCAGTCTTTGTCAAGGAATAAACAATCCACCGCTTCCGTGACGTCACGCAGATAACGCACGTGACTCCGTGAGCAGTGGATCATAGGTTGCAGAAAGTCTGTGGCGCCCCCCGTCTCTGTTGAGGGATGGTTGTGATGCCCTGATGTAGATGGCCTCTTTAACCTCTCGTGCAAAGAAATCCGGTTCTGACTCCAGGATTTAGGTTAATTTGGGTTAGTCCAATTTCTTGTGTTGGAAATTACAGTTTAAACTTGCTGCATGATATGCTCTTGATGATTCGTTCTTTAAACGGTGCACAACAAGTTACATTATCAGTTAAGTAGAAAAAAGAGTCGACAAGAGTCTTGTTGCACATATTCTTTTAAAGTGCTCTAAAAGCCATCAATTCTGATTGCTATAGTCTTGGTGTGGGACTTAGTGTGTGAATTAGTGCAAACATCTGTCTTCCTTTGTTTTATCCTTCCCCAGGCTGCTCGTCCCAGCCGTGCTACCCGGAAGTGACGTGTACAGATGTACCAGGTGGACATGAGTGTGGGGACTGTCCGCAAGGCATGACGGGAGACGGGAAGAACTGCACTCAGGACACTGGAGGTACCTTGTACCATCATGGCACGTTGAGCTGTAAAAGATAGATTCGTAGGGAGAACAATGTCCGAGTTGGATGCAAAATTTAAATAGAGTGAACAAATGCACCGATATGTTTAAAGTTAAAACTTTTGGTCCAACACAAAAAAATTCACCTAGAGCTTTCGACCAGTCACTCTGGTCTTCCTCAGTAAACTGACCCTGTGAAGCCTGTCACGTGGCTTCTTTGAAGTGTGACGTCAACACTGGATCGAAGGTATCTTGTAGACGATGTCGGCCCCCGTCGCGAGTCAGTCTACTGAAGATGACCAGAGTGACTGGTCGAAAGCTCTAGGTGGGAGAATTTTTTGTGTTGGACCAAAAGTTTGAACTTTAAACAATGTAACTACCAACACAGATGAACTTTCATGAAATGCACCGATAGTTATGGTTGACAATTTCAGTCGGCTTCTAATGTATGTGCTATATTCTTCCCCAGTGGCAGACCAACAAGGGTCCAGCTGGTACGAGCAGCCCGCGTACATCGCGCTGCTGTCTGTGGGGGCAGTCGTCGCCGCTGCAGCTCTGATCGGAGTCGCTGTGTGGCGTGTCAAAGCACGCAATGTCACCAGAGCCAAGGTGGGAGATCTGCCGCTGGAGGACAGGGAGAAGGGCGACGGTGCCGGAAGTCGCCATGTTGATATGATGGGCCTGGATGACAAACATGACTAGTGTAGCATCAACTGAGACACGTATACAGCTTATACCTAAGTGATCTCTGTCTGGGTTAAGGGAAGCCTTCCATCTTTTCTGTTAATCTTCTTATTTGTCAAGAGATTGCATCGCCTGTCCATGAGATATATATGAGTATACTATAAGTTTTTTAATAAGTTTTTTATTCAATTTAAAATTAAAAAAAAACTTATAGTATAACTAAAGAAGTAACATTTGCAAGACAAATGCATAATGTTTACCTTCGGACATGGTCTGCCCTGTTAATTTTTGCTCAAACACATCCACATACATGTACTACTAGTATATGGTTACAGGATTAGAGCAGACCATAAGATTGCAACATTATGTAACCCAACACCAGTCACCATGATGACAGACGTCAACAAATCATGTCATTGGTCAGGTCAGAGGTTAGTGTTTGGAACAGAAGAGGAGGAGGAAGAAACTGAGTAAAAACAATGTTTTCCTTTGGTAAACATAATTAACACTACACATCTCATGGACAAGCTATGCAATCTCTTGACAAATTGAGGACAATTGGAAAAATATATATCCTAAACACGTGACTGGCATTATCATAAAACTGAAAATTGATGATGAAAAGACAGAAAAGGAAATGATTTGTTGAAAAAAAAGTCATGTATATTCAGCGGATAGGACGACTCATTATCATAACCGTGGCTTCATGTTGAAATGTGTGTGTGTGTTGTGTTTAACCTTAGTTTTAATAAGAAATAGCATTGCACAGGATGAAAAGATTCAAGCAAATTAACAGTATAAACAAATAGTGCATCTTGTCTGTGCACGTAACCTATTGTAATTACTTGTTGATCAGATATGTGTGGAAAACAAAATTCACGACTTGTATAGCTGTTACAAATCATTGCCTAATAAATACTTCATTTTGGTGTCAAATGGTAATGCTGTGTGGGATAAAGTTCCCAATTTAACGTTTAGCTAGGTCAAGAAGTAGTACTTTGACCAATATCCAATACAACCGTCCGCACCGATAGTTAGTCCTCATTAAAATGTATTATTTGTCTCGATTTGTTCCTTCTTACATTTCATTTACGAAGGAGAGAGATGAATTTTATAAGTCGAAAATTGAAATATGTCAAGTAGAAAAAAAGAAGAAATTGCTTACAGAGACTATTAAGATAGCCACGCAGTGACCAAAGAAATATTCTGGACTTTCTTCCATGGTTTACTTTTCACATAAACAGGTCAGTTGCCCTTAAATTTCAAATCTTCAACAAGGGTATTGTATGTACAAATGTGATCACTGTATACTCCATAAACTTCTAACACCTTCATTATCCATTCAGGTAGGTGGGTAGGTCTTGAGGAAACCTAGGAATGGCGCTGTAGCAGAACTTCTGGTTTTGATATCTCGCGATCTGGACATGCTTGGGTCACAAATTTTGGTTGATGATAGCTCTTGGGGTAGGGAAGAAGTGACATGAGTTTGGTCCCCCTAGAAGCTTGTTCTGGAACTGCAGGAGCGTCTGTTGAAAAATCCTCGAAGAAGGATAACTGAAGAATTGGTTGACGGATTGTAGTGTTTTTTTGTATGTAGGTAGCTGAAGTGATGCTTGACATAATCAGATGATAATTATGCAAATCAGGAGCTAATTTTCATAATTAATGAGGAAATTCTATAAAGCTGCTTCATTCAATATTAGGACAATGACACACTTGTGACATGTAATTGAGAACGAGAAAAACACCTGAGGATATAGATTATGTCCTCAGGTAAATTTAGAACAGCCAGAAAGTTCTTAAAAACCAAAGCTATGAGAGCAATATTCAAATTAAAATCAC